AAAAAAAAAAAAAAAAAAAAAAAAAAAAACACCCAAATCGGGGAACCCAGGCTGAGTTGCTGGTGACTGACAGCCCTGGGGAGATCAATGTCCTCAACCTCAAGAAGCCAGAAACCCCTACCCAGAAACGTCTCTCCCCACAGCCTGCAAGTCACAGGGGCCTCTGCTGCCCCCACCCTCCCCACCCAGACACCTTGCCACTGAGGCAGAATTTGGGTCTAACCTCCTTCCAGGCCTGTCCCAGAATAGCCTCCCTGGGAAGCCAGACCTGGCCATGCCCAGTCCCTGCTCCAGCTCCTGCCTGCTTCCCAGATCCTAAAGCTGGAGGGGCAGGGCCTCCATGCTCCACGCTGGCCGAGGGCCTGGAGAACCACCCTGCACACGGTGGGTATGGAGACAAGAGGGAGACACGGGCTCAACTGCGGCCTCCTCCTTCTCCCCAGGAATGGCACGGCCTCAAATCCAAGAGCCTGCCAACTCCCAGAAGCCCAGAGCAGCTCCATTCTGTGCACCTCTGTTTCCGCACTCCCTCCAGGCCCCGTCGAGGGGGCCTCCCGGCTGGCCAGGCTCAAACCTCCCAAACCTCTGCCCACATCACCGCCTCTGCTTCTCCACCAGCCCCAAAAGGTAGGCAGGCACAACAGAGGCGACAATGCTGCCTCACTGCCGAGAAAGGATCCATCAATCAAAGGTCACAGGCACAGGGCCCTGAATAATGAGCGGCCAGCCTCCGCTCCCTGCCAGGGTCTGCCTGCCCAGGTCAGCCCCAGCCGCCCCTCCCTTCCAGGGCCTGCCCCAGCTGCCCCCCACCACCAGGGACTGCCCCAGCCACCCTTCACTGCCCAGGTCTGCCCCAGCTACTCCCACTGGCCCAGGTCTGCTCCAGCCACCCCCCTCCACGTCAGGGTCTGTCCCAGTCGCCCCCTATACCCAGGTCTGTCCCATGGCTTCTCCTACAGTGTCTGAGGGGGCCTCTGCACAGCAGGACTAGGTGCCCACCCGCCCCCAGCCTCACCCTTGCCCTCCTTGGTCTTGGCCTTGCGGATAGGCACAGGCTGGGGCGCCTGCAGGGGGCTGACGGCTAGCGGAGGGGAGATGGTGACAGTTTCTACAGCCGCAGCCACTGCCGCCGCCGCTGCTGCCGCCGAGCTGCCCTTGAAGGGGTTGTTGGCGCTGAACTCCCGCCACTTGGCACCCAGGACAGTCATCATTTTGGACATGGGGATCTTCGGGTTCTTCTTGGCGATGAGTGGCCTGTGTGGGGAGAGGCAGGAGGGTGAGAGCAGGGCCAGGTGGGATGAGAAGCCCACCCAACCCCCAGCAGGGCCCACCCCTCTGCCCTGCTGAGGCAGAGCCCTGGGTTCCTGATTAGAGAAACTAGGCAAGGAAACCCACTGACCACAGCCCCCCCCAGCAAAACACCCCAGCTTCCTGTCCACACAGTTGACTATTTTCTCATCGGGTTTTCGGGCGCTGCAAGAATTGAAGGGCCAGCCGGGCATGGTAGCTCACGCCTGTAATCCCAGCACTTTGGGAGGCCGAGGCGGGCAGATCACGACGTCAGGAGTTCAAGACCAGCCTGACCAACATGGTGAAACCGCATCTCTACTAAAAAAAAAAAAAATTAGCTGGGCATGGTGGCGCGTGCCTGTAATCCCAGCTACTCAGGAGGCTGAGGCAGGAGAATCGCTTGAACCCAGGAGGCAGAGGTTGTGGTGAGCCGAGATCGCGCCACTACACTCCAGCCTAGGCGACAGAGGGAGACTCCGCCTCAAAAATAAAGACTTGAGAGGCCACAGTGGCCTCAGAGTCCCCATCCCACCTCTACCAGAGCTGAGAGGCCATGGTGGTGAAAGATGTTCCAGGAAAGACTGGAACCACCTTCCCCAAGGGGAAGAGACTTGAGGGCCCAGGGCCAGGCCCCGCAAGGGAAGGCCTGGCGGTCTGTTAGCATGAGGGGGTCCTGACCCTCCCTCCAGCTCCCCCAGGTTGCTGAGTCTGTCTGACAGAACCCACCCCTACCCCAGGAGCCCAGGCTTCATTCCTCTGCCTCCCTCCTGACTTGGTGGCACCCAGAGGGTATGCAGGCCTCGAGAGCAGCCCTGGCCCCGGCCCACCTGAGGAACTGGCTGAAGGCCTTGTAGTTGGTCAGCGTGTGGTAGTCCTCCTCCGAGAACAGGTAGTCCACATCGTCCAGGCCCCACTCGGCCATGAGCTGCCCTGAGGACTTGGGCTCCTGCAGAGACCCAGGCCAGAGGCAGAGCTGTTGGGGGGCCTTCTAACCTGCACCCCCATCCCCAGGGTCTCTGCCTAGGAGGCTTCGGCAGAGGGGAGAGAGCAGGGGACATGCCTGCAACGTAACCAGACTGTTCTCAGCCACCCTAGGTAACACGTTCACGCCCCAAAGCCCCCAAGCGCCCAATCTGTACTGAGTCTCTGATGCCCACTCATGGGGGTGCAGGCCAAGTGTTCAATGTCAGGGTTTGGGGAGAGGTCATGTGCATGCCCAGAACCTCCAGAAAGTAAAACCAGCCAGTTGTGGGAAAGGAGACTGGATGCCTGAGACCAGGCCCTCATCTTGAGATAGGGCTGCCCAACTGGCCTCAGGTCGCCAGAGCAGGATAACACACAGCTCTCCCTCTGGGAGGAAATAAATGCATTCTGGGAATTTGGGCCACAGGACAGCACAGTGGCCTGAAGACAGGAAGATGGCCGTGATGAGGGTGCAGGGCTACAGGGCTGCCTGAGCCCTGTAGAAAGACATGAGGCAGCTGGGCACAGTGGCTCAAGCCTATAATTCCAGCATTTTGGGAGGCCAAGGCAGGTGGATCACCTGAGGTCAGGAGTTCAAGACCAGCCTGACCAACATGAAGAAACCCTGTCTCTACTAAAAATACAAAAATTAGCTGGGCGTGGTGGC